AACTCACAACCCCGAGATCAAGACTTGCTTGCTCCACAGCCTGAGCCAGCCCAGGCTCCCCTCTACCAGTTTTAAAGACATAATTTCTGGGGCACCTGGGTGGCACAGTCGGTTAAGACTCCAGCTCTTGGCTTCAGCTCAGGTCCTAATCTCAGGGTCATGATCTCAGGCTTGCGAGATTGGACTCCGTGACGGGCTCCGAGTTCAGCGCAGAGTCAGCTTGGGATTTCCTCTCCCTCTCCCTCTGCCCCTCCTGCTCTTGCTCTTCCTCTCTAAAATAAATAAGTAGGGGCGCCTGGGTGGCTCAGTTGGTTAAGCGACTGCCTTCGGCTCAGGTCATGATCCTGGAGTCCCAGGATCGAGTCCCACGTTGGGCTCCCTGCTCGGCAGGGAGTCTGCTTCTCCCTCTGACCCTCCCCCGTCTCATGCTCTCTCTCTCAAATAAATAAATAAAATTTAAAAATAAAATAAAATAAATAAGTAAATCTTTAAAAAAAGTAATTTCTGTTTTACAGTGATAGCTAATAATTGAAAGATTTTTATTCAGTGCAAATCTAATTTTTTATTGTGGAAAAATATACATAACAAAATTTACCATTTTAGCCATTTTTAAGTATTCAGTGAGTGGCATTAAGTACATTCACAATATTGTGTAACCATCACCACTATCTGTTTCCAGAACTTTTTCATCTTCCCAAGCAGAATTCCACATATTAAGCAATAACTCCCCATTTCTTCCTCTCCCCAGCCCCTGGCTGCCACTGTCGTACTCTGTGTCTCTAGAATAATTTGATTATCCTAGGTACTTCATATAAGTAGAATCATGCAATAATTGTCCTTTTATGTCTGGCTTACTTTTTTTTTAAGATTTTATTCATTTATTTGAGAGAGAGTGAACAAGAGAGAGAGCACGAACTGGGTGAGGGGAGGGGCAGAATCTCTGCTGAGCAGGGAGCCCAACATGGGGCTCGATCCTGGGACTCCAGAACCATGACCTGAGCCAAAGGCAGACGCTTAACCAACTGAGCCACCCAGGTGCCCCTTATGTCTGCCTTACTTTAATTAGCATAATGTTTTCAAAGTTCATCCATGTTATAGCATATATCAAAATTTCATTCCTTTTTAAGACTGAATAATACCCCATTATATATATATGACATTTTGCTTATCTGGATACCTGGGTTGTTTCCCTTTTTTGGCTATTGTGAATAATGCTGCTAGGAACGCAGGTATACAAGTATCTGTTTGAGTCCCTGTTTTCAGGGGTTTTTTGAGTATATATATAGGAGTAGAATTGCTGAGTTATATGTTAATTCTATGTTTAAATTTTTGAGGCATCTCAAACCAAACTGTTTTCCACAGCAGCTTTACCATTTTATGTTCCCACCAACAATGCACAAGGGTTCCAATTTCCCCACATCCTCACCTACACCTGTAATTTTTTGTGTGATTTTTTTTATATCGTTAAAGCCCATGTCATGGTGATGGCTTTTTGTTTTGTTTTTAGATTTTATTTATTTTTTTAAAGATTTTATTTATTTAATTGACAGAGACAGCGAGAGAGGGAACACAAGCAGGGGGAGTGGGAGAGGGAGAAGCAGGCTTCCCGCCGAGCAGGGAGCCCGATGCGGGGCTCAATCCCAGGACCCTGGGACCATGACCCAACCAACTGAGCCACCCAGGCGCCCCTAGATTTTATTTTTAAGTAATCTCTACACCCGGCAGGGGGCTTGAACTCACAACGCCGAGATCAAGAGTCGCACGCTCCACTGACTGAGCCAAGCAGGTGCCCCTGTTTTTTTTGTTTTTGTTTTTGCTGTAGCCGTCCTAGTGGGTGTAAAATGTTACCTCGTTGTGGTTTTGCCTTGATTTCCCTAATGGCTAATGATATTGAGCATCTTTTCAAGTGCTTATTACCCATCTGTCTTTGGAGAAATGTCTGTTCAAGTAATTTGAGCAATTTTTTTAAATTTTTATTTTTTTATTTATTTGAGAGAGAGAACACAAGTAGGCAGAGCAGGCAGAGGGAGAGGGAGAAGCAGGCTCCCTGCTGATCAGAGAGCCCGATGCGGGGCTCAATCCCAGGACCTTGGGATCATGACCTGAGCCGAAGGCAGCCACTTAACCGACTGAGCCACCCAGGCGTCCCGTCATTTGACCAATTTTTAATTCTAGTTTCGTTTTTAAATCATGATTTCTCCAACTGGGTTCATACTAATGGAAGAGAGTCTAGGTCTTTTGGTTTCAACTTCCATTGGGGGACTGAGGCCTTTGGCTTCTAGTAACACTGCCTACTCCTTTTATCTGTCCATCCTAGGGTTGGTAGTTACCTCTTGCTGTCACTAATCTCTGGGCCACTTCACTGGTCCCTGTTTTGTTTTGTTTTTTTTTTTAAGGGGGTTGGGTCAGAGGGAGAGGGTAGAGAGAGAATCCCAAAAGCACGCTTCACACCCAGCATGAAGCCCGTGGCAGGGCTTGATCTCACAACCCTGAGATCACAACCTGAGCTGAAATCAAGAGTCAGACTGAGCCATGCAGGCACCCCTCCTATTGGTAAAAACTTTCGAAAATATACTCCCATTATATGTGTGTGTGTGTGTGTGTATATATACATATATATATATATATATATACTTATTTATAATTGTATTAAGTACATGGCCCATTGAACTGGTGTGAACATTATAAAACATTAACAAACGTTGACATATAAAGGACACGGTATACAAATTAAGAGGAAAAGTTCTAAAGCTTTTTCTCACCCCAACAGATAATCTTGTGCATCCCAGAGTACACCTACCCTAGTTGGACACAGTTCTAGAGTATGTCATTAAGGGCTGCTGAAGGATCTCAGACACATTCTGCTGAAGTGCTTACATGTTCACCAAGCTTAGGGAAAATTTTTAAAATGGTCTCTGACTTCAACTCCCTAAACTATTTTAAGTTCCTTAATTCAAACACAAAGTCATAAAACCAGCTCCATAAACTCACTAGCCTCCATTCTAAGTAGTTCCTCAGAATCATAATCAGAGTCTGATGTGCACAGCCTCTGGACTTAGGAAGTGTTCATTAGACTTTTTTTTTTTTAAGATTTTATTTATTTATTTGACAGAGAGAGACACAGCAAGAGAGGGAACACAAGCAGGGGGAGTGGGAGAGGGAGAAGCAGGCTTCCCGCGGAGCAGGGAGCCCGATGTGGGGCTCGATCCCAGAACCCCAGGATCATGACCTGAGCCGAAGGCAGACGCTTAGACTGAGCCACCCAGGCTCCCCCCATTAGACTCTTTTTCACCAAAGATCAAATAACCTTGAGGTGAAATAGGAGAGGGTATGTGTATGGATTTGAGAGGAACCTAAAATATAATAGCCATCATAAAACTGACTATAGTTTCCATCTGACTTAAAAAAAAAAAAAGTAAAATATTGTGATGAGAACAATACGAAACTAAGCTATTATCTGTGGAGTCTTTTTTAGGGTTAGTCCCTTTGTTGGATACAATGTAATGACTTGTCTCCTTTCTGGGCTCAAACAGTTCACCACTAGCACTAGAGTAACTCCCACCAAAGTTGAAAGGTCTTGCAGAACGGTTTTTGTCTGGGTTATCTGGCCAGTAAAGGAAGCCCCTCTTGGTTCAGTACTTCATGAGTGGGTGAAGTGTGCTGGACACCAGGATGATACAAAGTTGAAGGAGACTGTGACTTTTAAGGTCAATGACATTTAGGAATTCATAATCTGATCATGGAGAAACATTCATACATCTGAGCAGAATACTGGAAATGATTCCTTGCCAGAAGAAATGGGAGACTTCCCAGAGGGGATGCCATTTGGTCAAGACAATGAAAATGGATTGTAATTCAGGAAGAAATGAAGCAGAGGAGGGGGAAGGTAAAGTTAAAGAAGTCGAGGAAAGAGAAAACACTGTGTACTGAACTGGGTGGATATGTATTGCTTCATGTAATCCTCAGGAAAGCCGTAGGAGATGGTCATCATCTTCACTTTACAGGTGGAAGACCTGTGGCTCGGGAAAGTTAAGTAACTAGCACACATTACACATGCAATTATCTGCTGGAGAGTTGAATTAAGGGGTGCATTAGCTAGACAGTTGCTCATAAGTGCAGTTTAAGTGGTACTAAATCTTCACCGTATATTATTTGTAAGGATACAGAGAAGCTGTACTTAGCAGAACCGTTCTTAGGAAACAGAATATATGTGTTGGGAAAAGAAAGGATATATAAGCTATTTGGGGCACCGATGTGGTCAAGATCCCCCAGGGACACATTTTCCTGTAATACTCAGGAGTAAGAGCCTCTTTAAATAAACGTTCAACAGATTTTTGAGGACTATCAATTAAAAGAGCCCAAATTAATAGTGTGCCCAGGTACCTGACTTATTCTGTCTGGGCAGTTATAGAAGAGGCAATCTTAAATCTGCTTACCTCCAAAGCCAGTGGTCTTGGCAATATGCAGTACTGCTTGTAGCATGCTACGGAAATGCAGACAGACAGACAGAGGGACAGACAGATAGATACAGAGATGGGGAGGCTTAAATGGTGATGATTCTAAAGACTGGGCTGATGTCAGTCATCTCACAGGAGTGAGTAATATTTCCTTCAGCCTTTCATCATAACCACAAATTTTTCAGGTGGCTTAAGTCCCTTAGGGAACAAGATGAGATAATAATGAGTAAACTGGGGGCGCCTGGGTGGCTCACCCCATTAAGGGTCTGCCTTCGGCTCAGGTCGTGATCCCAGGGTGCTGGGATCGAGCCCCGCATCGGGCTCCGTGCTTGGCGGGGAGTCTGCTTCTCCCTCTCCCACTTACCCCTGCTTGTGCTCCCTCTCTTGCTGTGTCTCTCTCTGTCAAATAAATAAATAAATAAATAAATAAATAAATAAATAAATAAATAAATAAATAAAATCTTTAAAAAAAAAAAAAGAATGAGTAAACTGATAGATTTCCACTATTAAAGAAATCTACCACTGTGTATTTGTTATCTTCAGGAAATTACTACAATCAAGGGGAGGTGCGTAAGAAAGAACTTTTGCAGAGCTGTGATGTTTTGGGGATTCCATCCTCCAGTATAATGATTATTGACAACAGGTAATTTTTCCTTCAAAAATGTAGAACTTCTTTGGCAATAAATCCACAGTGGTACACTCAAAAGACACCAAAAACTAATGTGGGTGGGTAAGACCATCTTATTTGAGAAGTCTACTTAAAATAGTTCCACATTTGTTTTTAAATGACAGTGTAATGCAAATAAATGTTTTCAACTTCTGTTCAGATTCTGTCTCTGAAGATAGCTACTTCTCTTTTAATCTTTAAAAACACTGTTACAAAAATTTCAAAAAATACACAATAGTATAAAGAACTGTGTCATGAACCCCCAGATGCCTGTTACCGAAGCCCAGTAATTATCAAGCCTTTTTTATATTTGCTTCATCTACCCCCACTTCCCATATTTTGTGTGTGCAAAGCACTTCTAAAGAAAATCTAGTCATCAGGTTGTTTCACCCCTGCATGGTTAGATAGACGTCTCTTAAGAAGATAGACATTCTTTCCTATGGTCACAATGCCATTATCATCGCATCCAACAAAGTTAATACTTAATTAGTAATTAATTAATGTTGGTGTCCTCCAACACCCAGTCCATACTGACATTTCTCCAGGTAGCTCAAAACTGTTTTTATAGTTGGTTTGTTCAAGTCGGGGCCTAAACGAGTCCACACCCTATAGTTGGTTCACATCCTGCACTTCATTGCTCCTCCCTCCCTCCCCCACGTTGTCTTTGTTGAAAAAACTTAGTTGTTGTATAGAATGTCATGCATTCTGGATTTGTCTTGCCTACCTCCTCATGGTATTAAGTTGTTCTTCTATCATTCATATTTCTTGCAAACTAGAACTTAGCTGTAACTTTCAGGGGTGCGAATACCGCTATAAATTGTACTGTGTACTTCATATTGAATCATTTCAGGGGACCACATGCTATCCGATTGCCTTGCTTTCTAATGATTCTACCATTGATAGTGAATTCACACGGCAACGGCTGCTCCTTTCATTTTAAAGACCCACACCCACCTTTCATGTAATGCTTTCATGATTGCCTGAATCATTGGTTTTAACTAGAAATAGCCAAATGCTGAGTTTCTAAATGTCTCCTGCATTCTAAATGTATTAGCTGTAATTCTTCTGCAAAGCAAAATTTTATCAGCTGGGGCTATTTAGTTACCCTAGTATATAATTTGATCTGAATAGACTGGATAAATGCTTAATTCTTTCTTTTTTTAAGATTTTATTTATTTATTCGAGAAAGAGGGAGAAGGAGAGGGAGCATGCTCAGGGGGAGGGGCAGAGGGAGAAGCAGACTCTCCGCTGAGCAGGGAGGCTGACTCAGGGCTGGATCCCAGGCCACCAGGGTCATTACCAGAGCCCAAGGCAGATGCTTAACTGAGCCACCCAGGCGCCCCTAAATGCTTAATTCTTTAATTGCCATTTTCAGAATAAGGAGTCAATGCCCTACATACCTCCAGCAGTAATCCATTGTTTGTGGCTTGGATGGGGAGGGCACTTTTTTATTTCATCGGGTACCTATGTGTTTTTATGTATTCAGGGTTTCCGTTTCGGTCGTATTCTTTGATTCTCCAATTGTCTCGTCTTTGGCTATTGAGCCTCTTAATGTTAGCTCCTATGTCCTTTTGGCATGGTCTCTTTAGTTGTGTAAGATTTGCTTGCTGTCAAGGACAACGAGATTTCCCAGTGCCTTCTTGTATGCTTTCTTGCCCCAGTCCTGGCATCAGCCATCCCTCTAACGAGCTTTGGTTTCTCTTGGTAGGGTGTGGTGTTTAGAGACCATAATTAGAGTTACTAGGAGTGTGTATTGCTACAGTGTTATTATTTCCTATTGTTACTTGACCTTCATAGTGGACAGAGCTAGTAAATATGTATTTTTTTAAGGAAAAAGATATCAGGAATACTAATGCTTACAATGTAGAGTTAATATTTCAAGGGTTTTGTTTAATACATTTGCTTTTACATCAAATCTCTTTTCTCTTACACCGTAAGTCTTGCTTTCTAACAACATGAACATAATTATTCTCTTTTTAAATCTTGTTTAAGGATTTTATAAAACATGAATGAAAAAAATGCTTGAAAAGCAGATATTGAGGGCACCTGGGTGGCTCAGTCGTTAAGCGTCTGCCTTCAGCTCAGGTCATGATCCCAGGGTCCTGGGATCGAGTCCCACATCGGGCTCCCTGCTCAGCGGGAAGCCTGCTTCTCCCTCTCCCACTGCCCCTGCTTGTGTTCCTGCTCTCACTGTCTCTCTCTCTGTCAAATAAATAAATAAAATCTTTAAAAAAAGAAAAGCAGATATTGAAACCAAGGCTAAATATAATATGACTGATCATGATGTCTGTAATTTACTTTAGAATGATTCAGAAAAAAAAAAATGCATACCTATATAGATTAAGCCCAAATAGTAAAATATTAACAATTTGAACATTGATGAAAGATACATGAGTGTTGATTATACTATTCTCTTAACTTTTTTGTTTGTTTGTAAATTTTTATAATAGAAAAAATTCTGAGTACCATACCACATACCTTTTCTCTGATTATTTTCTGGCATATATAAATATATGTTAATGTATTGTTACTGACCTGCCTCTTCAATTAAAAAAAAAAAAAAGAAAACTCAGGGGCACCTGGGTGGCTCAGTGGGTTAAGCATCTGCCTTTGGCTTAGGTCATGATCCCAGGGTTCTGGGATCGAGCCCGCATAGGAATTCCTGCTCAGCGGGGAGCCTGCTTCTCCCTCTCCCAATCCCCCTGCTTGTGCTCTCTCTCTCTGTAAAATAAATAAATAAAATCTTAAAAAAAAAAAAATCAGAGGTCTACATAACAGCAACTGGAGTTTGTATTACTATCTTTTGGGCTTAAATATCTGTTCCTTACCAGCAACATTGCTTTTGGGATTTATTATAAAATAAACTGTGCTTACTTCCTTTTTTTAAGGTTTTCCGTTTCTGTTATTGGGTAATGTGCAAGAAGGGGATAACACAACTTATAACATGATGAAGACACAAGTTCCTTGAAGTATAAGCAAAGAAGAAATAAACAATCACCCCCAAAATGTATAAAAGGCCAAAGTAGTAATTTTGCTGATGTTTTCAACTCATTCCTACAAAACAAAATTTGCTCTGCTATTTTTACAGGCCAGGAGTACTAGAGAAGAAGTTATAAGTTATATCTTTACTATAACCCGTATCTAGTTATATCATAATTTTCAGATTCTGTTTGTCCAGGAAATGAGTCCCATTTGGATAGTTTACCATTAAGTAGGTAAACACTAACCAATTTCTAAGATGAACTGGTAACTTTACTTAACAGTTGACCTTAATTCTGGGACATAACAAGGGAAATTTATAAGAAAGATGAAGCTTGCTTATCTGGTATGTGGTTTCTGTTATCTAGATTCTAGATACACAGTTAAGGACAGGAAAGAAGTGCAGTAGAAGCTGCCTTCACCCACCATTTGTTTATTCCTACTTTCTACATTATTTCAACAAAGTCCCAGTCGGATTTTGTTGTTTACCCTTACAAGATTAGAACAAGTACACTATTAGGAGCACCTGGGTGGCTCCGTCGTTGAGCGTCTGCCTTCGGCTCAGGTCACGATCCCAGGACGCTGGGATCGAGTCCCGCGTCAGGCTCCCTGCTCAGCGGGAAGCCTGCTTCTCCCTCTCCCACTCCCCCTGCTTGTGTTCCCTCTCTCGCTGTGTCTCTCTGTGCCAAATAAATAAATAAAATCTTAAAAAAAAAAAAAAAGAACAAGTACACTATTAGATGAAGGAAGTTACTAGTCCAGGCAGGCTTGGTGAATCTAATGAGTTACAAATGAGTCTGAATCTGCTAGGATCCGTTTAGGCAGCTTCAACAGTAAATGTGTCCTCCTGCATATGAAGCCCCCGGAAAGCAAGATGGCGCCAGGTTGGCTCGACAGCATCATCAAAAACCCAAGTCCTGGGCGCCTGGGTGGCTCAGTTGGTTAAGCGACTGCCTTCGGCTCAGGTCATGATCCTGGAGTCCCGGGATCGAGTCCCGCATCGGTCTCCCTGCTCGGCAGGGAGTCTGCTTCTCCCTCTGACCCTCCTCCCTCTCATGCTCTCTGTCTCTCATTCTCTCTGTCTCAAATAAATAAATAAAATCTTTAAAAAAAAAAAAAAAACCCAAGTCCTTTCCATATCTCTGTGCAGCTGTTTCCATCATGTCAACATCTCTCCCCTCATGGTTAGAAGGTGACCGCATTAGCAGTTGCAGGCGTCCCCTGCAGACACAACTGTGTCCTGCCAGGAACGGGGGTATTTTCCTTCGGCACATCTCTATATTCTTTATATTGTGGAGAAAAACCAGGAGTTGCCAACAGACTCTCTGAGGTCTCCTGCCCTGCGTGGATCATCACCACCACCACCCCCTCTACCAACATCCCAACCATGGTAGCTGTTAGATACCAGCTTTATTTATTTATTTATTTATTTATTTATTTATTTATTTGTTTAAGAGTGCTCTATTTCAGCAGAAGAATGCTGGGAATGGCTATAGATAGGAAAAAATGCTCATTTTGCCTCACTGTCTTTTTTTTTTTTTTTAAAGATTTTATTTATTTTTTAGAGAGCAAGCGAGAGAGAAACAGCATGAGAGGGGAGAGGGTCAGAGGGAGAAGCAGGCTCCCCACTGAGCCGGGAGCCCGATGTGGGACTCGATCCCAGGACTCTGGGATCATGACCTGATCCGAAGGCAGACGCTTAACCATCTGAGCCACCCAGGCGCCCTTGCCTCACTGTCTTACAAAGCCTGTATGCTTTACAACCCACCTAGCCTTGTGTTTTTGTTGGGTTAGGTTAGTGAAGGTCTAGGGGACTGGCCTAGGCTGGGGCCTAGCTATAGGACTGCTTAGGACGCAGAGCAAGGAGATGTATTTCAAGTGTCCAATCTAAACCAAGGAACAAAAGATATATTAAGCAGATGACGTAAACAAAAGGAAAACAGGCTAAAAAGACAGAGCAGGTTCTGTGGGTAATACCTGGAAAACTACTAGCACCT